AGTATTGATTGGCTTGGTTACATTTAACTCATTTTTTTTTATTTGGCTTAATCACTAAGAATACATCAAATTGCATTCCTAATTTGTATCATAGAAAATCCCTTTAATAAATTAAAAGATGTGACTGTCCAAGTCCGTCCCCCTCCAGTGCTTACCTGACTTTGCAGTTCGGAAACATAAACTGCCGTCATGGACGCGTAGGGTAGGCTGTACGTATTAAATCTTTGAAGCAGAAGGTGTGTTGGTCATCTTCCTCTTCACGTGGCTGCCGCATCTTTGCTTTCTCTCTTTACCCCCACACTCCCCTCCCTCTCCACTCTCCCAATTCTCCATTTCCTAACCAAACCCTAGCATTCCAAACGGATATTCATCCGCGTCAACTTCAGTCGGGAAATCAAAAGCAACGTAGATACGCGGCGGATGGCGGTGTTGCAGTCGCTGTACGGGCCGCTGGAGCGGTGCTTCGGGGTGGCGGCTGGAGGAGACAGTCTGATGTGGCATACGGACCTCAAGCCGCACGCCTCTGGTGACTTCTCGATCGCGGTTGTTCAGGCTAATTCTACTCTTGAAGATCAGAGTCAGGTTTGCACGACGCCTTTTGGGACCTTTGTTGGGGTTTATGACGGACATGGTGGCCCGGAGGCTTCCAGATTCGTCAACAAGCATCTCTTCCCATTTCTTCATAGTAATTTTCTTCTCCTTTATGTCCTATTCTGTTTGCGCATATTCTTGTCTCTTAATTGGAGATTTTTTTGCAGTGAGTATTCATACCAAATTGAATTCATGTTAATGCCTATTGCTTGTGTTGATTTTCCGTGCATGTTTGGCTTTTGGATTTGGAATTCATGTTATGGTAATTCTTTTTTTTTTTTCTGACTGCTATATTTGAGATGGGTTTCTAGTAATGCAAATTGAATTTCATGGGGTTTTAAGACAGACTGGCTAACCATGGGTTGTGTTTCAATTGTAGAATTTGCTGCAGAGCAAGGAGGCTTATCTGTTGAGGTGATAAAGAAGGCATTCCATGAAACTGAACAAGAGTTTTTGAATTTGGTGAAGCAGGCTTTTCCAGTGAGGCCTGAAATTGCTTCAGTTGGGTCATGTTGTTTAGTTGGTGCTATTTCAAATGATGTACTGTATGTGGCAAACCTTGGTGATTCAAGAGCAGTTCTTGGGCGGATAGTTTCTGGGGATAAAAACTATAAGGTGGTGGCAGAACGGCTGACAACAGATCACAATGTCGCAGTCAATGAGGTGAGAAAGGAGGTTCAGCAGCTTCATCCTGATGATTCACAAATTGTGGTGTATGCTCGTGGAGCTTGGAGGATTAAGGGCATGATTCAGGTATACTGTTGCAGCTTTCAGGTTTATTTATTACTTTGACTGGAAGTTTTTGGTTTTAGATATATAAATTTCTGGTTTTCAGTTGGATCTTATCTTTAGATGCTGCTTTCCAGTTATTTGATATTCTGTTTTGGTTACTTGGTGAATTAGCTCTGAAGATTCCATCTATTTCATTTAGTTTGGTTTATTTCAAAATTTATTTGGGACAGCTTTAAGTGATCTAAGGTTCAATTATTTATGTGTATTTTTATTTAGGTCAAAACAAATAATATCTTTTAGAAATTTGGTCCTGTTATGTTTTCAGTGTTTACTTTGATCCTACCAAAGAGGTTCCTTTCCTTTGACGTAGTGTTGACAAAAATCAAATTTGAAACTGCAAAGAGTTTTTCTTAGCTTAGGAACTTAAGCATGCTAGGGAAGATGTCCTTAACCAAAAATGAACTACTCAAAGAAATCATTGCATGATAATGTTTGTTCTGGCAGTGCTACTACTGACCACCCTAGACTGATGTTGGTTTCTCAGTAAAGTCAACTATGAAAACGCTGTATGAAGAGAATTGGGAACTGCAGGAGTCATGCTTCATAAGCATGGAACTTATGAATCATTGACATGCATGTTTTCGATGTTTTTCTCCTTTCAACTTGTGACAGGACAGGAGTTTCTGGACCCAAGAGTAAATGTAACAAATGAACTGTATAAGCTGCCTGGTTGTGTGGTATATTATGTATAATTATGAAAACTATTCCCTACTTTGTTATTTATTTTTACTGGTAGAATAATTGGCAATAACGTAATTATTTTAAATATTTTATTAAACCCAGTACTTGTAATCCTCCGCTTCTTTTTGGAAAATAGAGAGAGTTGCATCTGCGCCCGTACTCATTAAGCATTAATGATGAAATTTCTTTTAAGAGGGGTTTGTTTCTTCCATTCTCTTCCAGAATTCTTATTCTGGCCCAAGATACCATCTCATATGGATATCTTTCAAGTGGTTTGTCTTTATGCATGAGATGACCCCTTGAAGCATGGTGCTGATAATACATACCCACAGGGAGTCCTTTTGTTCTTTGTTGTCATTTGTTGATTTCTTTTATTCTTTCTTAATGTATCAGGTATATGCAGTTTTATGTTTTTGCATGTTAACTGAGGAAAAACATGCAGTGGTTTTTTATGTAACGCTAGATATAATATTTTGGAAAGCTGATTCACAATCTTTGAGCATGTGATTGATGATGCTCGTCTAAACATTTTCTGTTGCTTGTTTCAGGTGTCCAGATCTATAGGTGATGTTTACTTGAAGAAACCTGAGTTTTATGGAGATTCAATCTTTCAGAAATTTGGAAACCCTGTTCCTCTGAAAAGACCTGCAATGACAGCAGAACCCTCCATCATTTCCAGAAAGCTTAAGCCAGAGGACCTATTCGTAATCTTTGCATCAGATGGTCTCTGGGACGAGTTGAGTGATGAAGCTGCTGTAGAGATTGTATTCAAAAACCCGAGAGTGGTGAGTAATTCTTTTGTCTTGAAAAGTCACATTAGCCTTTTCCAACCAGTCCTATTAGCAGTTTTAGTATCAAGTTAGGCAATTTGATCCATTCAAATTTTTCTATGGGCAGGGCTTAACCCATGCAGGTTGCATGATTTAATCTTTGAATGTTTAGCATCTTTATTATAATGATTAAAAAAGGGCACATGCTGAACATCATATTAGATATTATGATTTCCACCTAGCCTTGAAATTTCTAGTTTGGTGCACTCATTTGTTCTTCCAACTATCAAATTCACCAATAGCAGTGTATAACAACTTAAAAGTATGTTTGTACTTGGAATGCAATTCATTTGAATATAAATATAAAAAGCCTTTTTTCTACTTGTAGGGAATTGCTAAGAGATTGGTAAGAGCAGCACTTCAAGAGGCTGCAAGGAAGAGAGAGATGGGATATGATGATATAAAGAAAATTGAGAAGGGAGCGAGGCGTTATTTTCATGATGATATCACTGTGATTGTAATTTATCTTGATCAACACAAAGGTTCCAGCAGCAATAGATTTAAACAGAATGCTGTTAGTTGCACGACAGCGCCTGTTGACATCTATTCCTTTAATGCAGATAAAGTCGCAGCAGATGTACTTGACATAATTGACTGAAAAATAACAGAAACCATTAGAGATTAACAAGCTGACTTGTTCAAGTGGTTTTTTTCTTTTACATATTATACGGTACATAAATGATAGCTCATATTGATTCTTGACAGGGTCTCAGAAGGTATACAGTTGGTTTGGGTGATCAAGTCACTAAATATATGTGGATACTGATGGAAGCAAGTTGCAACTGGCTATCCAAGTGAGGGTCTACACCACTTCCTTCTTGATTCTCGATTCTTGATTTTGCATCATTACTAAACCCCAATAATTAGACCATGAAAAATTGTGATTTTCTCTTTGCATAGCTTATTAACAAAATATGATTCTTGTTAAACTTGAGGGTGTGTTCGGTTAGCAGTCTTTAGTAGAAATTGTTGTCCCGAAAGTAATCGTCTCCAAAGACGATAAGTCTAAATTTTTTGAGGAATTGCGGACTTTCTGACTGTAACCTATTCTCCTGGCAGCTAGTAGTGTCTCTCAGAAATTCCTAATCAAACATGCCCTGAAGGACATGTAGTTTTAATTTTCACTTGAGAAAATATTGTGCCGGAAACAATCGCTGGTAATTTCAGTTTATACAGGGCGTCTCTGCAGGAAATGGTCATTTCTTTTCTTTTCTTGAAAAGGACAATTGCAATATGAGTTTGAGAGGCCCATCTTTGCGGCTTTCGCGGACTGTTTGTTGTGTCCAACTAGGCGCTGACCTGTCTTAGGCTGGATTCTTCTTGCATAGTAGTTGCTGTTGTGCCACGACTCATCGAAACTCTCGCCTCTGATATTGACGTGAACTCCCAAGGCATGTGTCATACATTATTTCGCTTTGTCATACTCCCAAGGCATGTGTCATACGTGATTCTGCTGTTAACCATGGGTCTTATTTTTAAATTGTGAAATTAAAGGAGTCTCAATCCTTAAAAAAAAAAAAGAGTTTGAGGATGAAAAGGCATAAAATAAGTAAGTTGAGCCACTAACCATAGGTCATTCCTTTGTAAATTCCTTTGTAAATTGTGATACTAATTTTATCTTTGGCTTAATACAAAATAGGACAATTATTGATACATATTCCTATTTAATATATTACATAACACAATCATTAAAAAATCATTATTTTTTAGTTTGAAATTAAAAGCAAATAAACTTAAAGTCATAGTTATGCACACATGATGCAAGAATTGGTTGAATTAGTTGAAGTGGTTGAATTGGTTGTACTTAGATTATATTTTTAATGGCTAAAGTAGATAAGTGTCAAAAAGTATATCGAATCAAATGTGTACTAATCATTTTTCTACAAAAATAATATTTCGAAGGATTATGAAAAAATTTCCCTAACAGCTAAGGTTTTAAACAACATGGGAGTTTAGCCCTTTCGAATTTATGGGTTTTTACTACAGTTTCTTGTCCTTTTTCCTTCCTAGCTTTAGCCAATGATGAGTGAGGATTTGAGAACTGTTTACATCATAAATTACAAAAATTTAAGATTATGCCACATGTCAAATATTTTTGAATGGATGGACGTGATTTAGCCATGTCAGATGTGCAATTCTGGATCTCATGACAAATTAGGTGTCATATAGGAAAGAAAGAGCAAAAAAGATGAGATCTTATCTTTTGGTTGCCTAATTGAGTCATGTTGGGATTGTTTCAACTGGTTTTTAGGAGTTGGTTTCAATTAAGAATGTGAGTTGACTGATAATGGGACAAGTGGTGAAATCTCAATCGAATTTTGACTTAATCAGCTGCTCAGATGTCCAACTTCTTCAGAAAATTACCCATGATCAAGTAACTATATGGAGTGGGGAGTTGCAGGCGGGGAAGAGGGAAACAAAAGGAAAATTTTTAGTCATTGAACACATGACTAACCCTACACACAACTCGACAAATTTTTAGACTTTTAGTTTCTCTGTGATTCCTCACTTTAGCTTATAAATTTTAGTTTTTAGCACAATTCCAATAAATTTAGGTTGTTTTTATCATTCTAGTAGCCAAATTAGTCCATGTATTGGCTTCAGTAATTTTGTTTCATGTCATGAACATCAAGCTTTTGAATTTGTACAAGATACTGTTCTTTTTTGTAACTGGTGTTAGTTTAATGTTTATGATAAGTAGTGTTTCATCAAACGATTACTCATATGGCATTCACACTTCTTCTCAATTTTGGGCATGTTAGTTTAGTCCATGTTCATATTTGCTTTAGTATTACTTAGGGATAGATCTCTAATTTTGTAATAGTTTAATTTCTAAATCTGTCTGTAGATAGCAGTTTAGTATGATAATAAACATATTTAATTTAATTTGGGTACATTTGGTTATTGCAAGTTTATTTTAATTTGCATTTCGTATAATTCGTTTAGGGTTTTTTTAACTTAAATCCACAATAGTGTTTAAGTCCTTAGAGCTGTTGAAGGCAGATTTAGTAATCCATTCTATAGGAAGGCATCTCTGCTTTTTACAAATCGTTTGTAGGCATAGATTTTAATTGAAAACCAACATTCTTCTCATCATCCGCAAGGAAGTCAACTATGAGAAAAGAAAGGGTCGTTGGAAAAATCTTCTTTCTTGCTTTCAGCAAAGTAAGTGACACGTGTACATCCAGATTCTGTACATGCAAAACCACTTAAGGATTTTTGAGGAAACAAGAACCAACAAGATTCGCTAAGGTCGGAACAGGTTGCAATGACAGAAGGTAGTGGAACATTATAGTATATGTTAATTGTTGTTGACGACTAAACGTAAAGGTAGGGTTGGATTTGTTGTGAGACTGGGGCATGAAGAGTTCATCATTTGGCAACAAGGTCCCTTGGGCTTGTTTTAATAACTATGGGTGAAGGAGGTTTGGGGTTACGATTGTTTGTTGTATTGTTTGTTGTAGGCCATGGGTTAGTCTGTTGTGGCTGGTTGTTGGTGATGGATTGCATTAGTGATGGGTTAGGCAGGCAGTGGTTGGAGGAGTTCCTAGTGTGCACTAGGAAAGGGACCATGGGTAAAGAATTATGGACTATGCCTATTTCAAAGGGAGAAGAGAAAGGGTTCTTCAAGGTCCATGATACTATGGGAACTACAATATAGAGGAGTCCATGGTGGGTAGCTTAAGGAGCTGGAGGCTGGGATTTAAGCATCCATATCGATTTGGAGAAAAGTCATGGCTGAGGTTTTCCGTGGTTGAACTTGATGGATGGATTGAGTTCATCTTTGATGGAGGAAAAGGTGTGGCTTTTTTTTTTTATAAAAAAATAATTGATACACATTTAATTTGATACACTTTTTAACATGTGTCTCGATTCAGTTATTAAAACATAATATAAGTATAATTTATATAAATAATATGTATATTTAAGTTTATTTGTTTTTAATTTTATATTAAATAATAATAATTTTTTTTTATAAAAAGAAGATTTTGTATTAAAACATAATATAAGTATAATTTATATAAATAATATGTATATTTAAGTTTATTTGTTTTTAATTTTATATTAAATAATAATAATTTTTTAATAAATATATTATCGATAAAGTACGCGTCAGTCCTGCCTCCAAAAGAAAAATTGGAGTCCCATTCAAAACGACGTCGTTTCCTTAATCCCCAGCTCCTCCTTTCTCTTGACCCTTTTGCAATCATCTGTGTCTCCATCTCAATCGACTCCTCCAATTTCTTTAATAACAACTAACAGAACAGAATAGTCACAATCCAACAAGCTAGAAGCCAAAAGTCGTCGCAACTCGGCATACAACCATATAAAACTGCCACGACAAAGCTCGAATCAATCAAATGCCTGAAACTGATGAACTCAACCAAATGGAAATCTCTAACTTCAGTTCAAAAAAAAAAAAAAAGGAAATCGAAAGAAATTCCAAATTAAAAGAGGGGGATCAAAATAGCATAGAGGGAGAAGCGGAGGAGAAATGGTTTTGAAGGAGGGAATTGATGGAGAAAACTGCTTCCTCGAACTATTGTTTCTTCCTGAGCTACACCTGCAACTCCTCCAATCACTGCTTCAAGCTTTCCTCAGAAGAAGACGACATTTTCCCTGCTTCTTTTTGCCCCTTCTTTTTGCGTCGTTCTGTTATGTTCTCTTAATCTAGGAGTAAGATTTTTTTTTGGCTTTTTTGGGTTGATGGAACTTAATAAGAAAACAAAGCACTTACCGTCCTTCGAAGAAGTAAGGGTTACCGTCGACGGAGATGATGAATTGCAGCGGTAGAATGGGGTGAAAATACTGGGTTCTGGGTACTAAGTCGATGGCGTGGGATTGCGTTCGAAAATTTGAAGGAATCAGAGTCGTCAATGGAGATGGGAGGCGATGGAGATGATTGTAGAAGGGACGAGGAGGAGCTGGGGGTTAAGGAAACGACGTCGTTTTAGTTGGGACTCCAATTTTTTTTTGGGAGGCAAGACTGACGCGTACTTTACCGATATATTATACAATGTATTAAATTAAAATATATATAAATTATTATTCTTCTTTCGTGCTGTTGGATGAGAGGTTGAATTTGGACCTCCATCCTCCAGGCTAATTTGAACGCCTCAGATGAAGCTATCATAATATAGAGTGTGATGTGACACCATAACTAAGACTTGAGAGGCATGAGGATAGCTTGGTTTCCTATTTATGTTAATAATAGGCGACCAACATCTTCTAGATGCCCCATAATAAATGAAGCCTATATATGAAGCCTATACAGATCAAATGAGGCGACCAAGTACCAAAACAAATATAGGCGACCAACATCTTCGATTCACAATAGTAGCTCCAGTTCTAACATTAATTCGCACATCTATAATTACTGTACAGATCAAAAACATGTATAGGCTTCATTTGTTATGGTAGCGAGGGGTACGGATCAAAAAGCCCAATGCCCATGTACAAAAACAGATATAGGCTTCATTTGTTAATATTACTGTGCAGATCTTTTTGTTTTTTATTATCTTAAAAAAAATAAAATATTAGTTATTAATAAATATATAAAAAAAATTTAATAAAATTAATCAAAAATAATTAATTCATATTTGTAAATAAAATACAGTGTAAAAAATATATGTCAAAAGCATCATCTTAGCTGTATGGTCTAGCTAGCCAGATAAAAGTCCAGAATAGGAGGGTCCACGCGCCTAGAAGAATGAGGTAATGTGGACTGGACTTTTCATATGGAGCCGACTACATTCAAACGGCAATTTAAATGTTTAATAATGAGAAGGAAAAATCAAAATCAAAATCAAACGCACGCCAACATAAGTAATTGAATACTAAAATATATAGTTTTTCACATTATGGGTATAAAATGAGTTATGAAACAGAGGATATTTTTTTTTCAAACCTTTCCCACCTATTCTAAAAAATAAATTTAAAGTTTTAAACATGAAAATTCAAACTATTAAAAATATATTTCTTAAAAAACTAGAAAAAATAGACTTTAAAGTAACCCATAATTGCCATGGAGGCTTGATCCTTTTTCTTTGTTCTAATTAATTCTCGAACTTAGATTATAATTTTTTTTTAATTTTAATTTGTACAATAAACGATAATTCTTTTTTATTTCTCAACTTATTCCACTCTCATTTTATATTACTCAAACTCATAAAATCTTTTATTTTTATTAAAAAGATACCATTAAACTATTAACACAGTTAACAAATTTTATGATTAAGGCAAATGACAGGAAACCTTTTGTTTTTGATTATTAAGATCCCTTAACCACGAGACTTGCCTGTCAATCCTAAA